CAGTGCTAGCGCGACTCCGAAGGCCGGTGCGTCGGGCAAGCCACTCGCGCATCTGCTGTGGTGAGAGAGTCTCACGCTGGGGAGACCGCTGCGACGAGGCTCCTGGAAGACCACCAGCAGAAGCAGCACCACCCGGCTCAGCACCCCCAGAAGCAGCACCCCCAGGCTCAGCACCCCTAGGCTCAGTTCGCTCAGGCGCAGCACCCCCAGGCTCAGCACCCCTAGGCTCAGCACCCCCAGGCTCCGCACGCTCAGGCTCAGCACCCCCAGGCTCCGCACCCCCAGAAGTAGCACCCCGAGCAGGACCACCCCCAGCAGCACCTGAGTCACCAGTGACCTCGACAGGCTCAGCCAAGGGAAGTGGGTCTACCTGAGAGACACCTGAAGGAGCAAGACCCGGAGGAGGGAGGGGGTCTACCGGAGGGGGACCTGGAGCGAGGAAGAGCGGCGGAGGGGGGAGAGGGGCAGAGCGGTAGGGGAAGAGACGGTAGAAGAGAATCGACTCATCAAAAGTGACGTCCTGAGAGGGCAGGACACGGCGCGAGGTGGGGTGGTAAAACTGCCAGCCAGGCGCGTCAGGAGGGAAGCCAAGGAAGACACAGGGAATGGTGCGGGAGGAGAGCTTGTCCGCGGAGGTATCGGACAAAGGGACGAGAGCCCCAGACCCGGAACACCGATGCATCGCCAACCTCCCCCGTCGAAAGCAGGGAAGGCGAGGTCTCCGGCAAGGAGACACGGGGCCAGAGGTTGAGCTGATGCGCAGCGTACCGGACCGCAAACGGCCACAGAAAATGGGGAGCAGCCGCATGGATCATGGAGGTACGAGCGACATCCATGACTAAGCCAATGCGGCGCTCTGCAATCCCATTCTGCTGCGGGGAGGCCGGAAGCGTGAACGACTGGGTGATGCCCTCCCCATGACAAAAGTCTCGCAAGAGGTCGGAGGAGAACTCACCACCTCTGTCAGAGTGCAGACGCAGGACAGGAAAGTCCGTGCGGAACCGCTCGCGGAGCTGGAGACGAACAGCGCGGATCCAAGGGATCAAGACAGCAGGGACCTCACCTCACCCTTGCTGCGCAAGGGAAAGACCGTGGTGTAACGCGAGTAGTCGTAAAAAACCAGCACAAAGTATCGCTTGCGGCACTGTCCAGTGACGCGGGCTGGGCCCCACACGTCCATGTGGAGAGTCTGCAGGGGAGCAATCGTCGGGGGAAACGAGGAGGAGTGAGGAGCGGCGCGCTGCTGCCCCTCGACGCAAGGAATGCAGGGCGGGGCAGGCAAGGGTGGGAGGGGAGGGAGAGACCTGGGAAGACTAGAGACAAGGAGGCGGGAGTGCATGCCACGAAGGCGTGGCAGGGAGGGGTGACCAAGACGGTGGTGCCAGAGGAGAGTCTGGTGCGACAGGAGGCGACACGAGCAAGAGGCGGCTACCTGACCTGACGCGAACTCCTGAGCAGACGCAGCGACCTGAGGAGGCGCAGTAGTTAGTGTGTACAGACTCGACCCAGGCCGACGGGTGAACGTGGCCAGGTGACGGCCAGTCCGGGAGCACGTGCAGATCGCCACACGCTGGCCTCCAGGGGTAAAGGTATCAACCCCTGCATCCTGAAGGACCGCGTTACTCACCAAGTTCGTCGAGAACGAGGGGAGGTGGAGACCTGACAGTGAGCCGGACGGAACCGCCGGACACGGGAGAACAGTGGAGGAACGTGCAAGAACTGGGCCCCCGGAGGGGTCAGCCAGAGAGACTGCAACTGATGCAGGGAGTGGTGTGACTGTGGTACTGTCGCGAAAGAAGCAGCGAGAAGCATCTGAGTCAAGCGTGAAGGTGTGCAAGGCCTCAGCAGGTGCAGTACCAGAGAGAGCAGACTCACTAGCACCCAGAGCAGCAGCCTCTATACCAGAGGGGGCAGACTCACTAGCACCTAGAGCAGCAGCCGCTATACCTGGGTCGGGCGGCACACACAGGTAGCAGTCACCCTCAGTACCAACAGGCAAAGCATAAATGGCCGTAAGGATAGCGTCATAGTCTCGAGCAAAAATATCCACACCGCGCCGATGCAGCTGTAACCTGTGGGGGGAGCTTTGCCGCGTCGCCAAGCTCTGTGCGCCAGGCGTCGCTCAGATAGGCGAAGCAGCGGGACTGTGTGTGGCCAAGTGTCGCGCAGGTCTGACCAGCCTGATCACCTGTGCGAATGACGTACGGGTAGCGAGCAGTACACCCAGACGTCCCATGCTGAACTAACCACTCACGAAGTTGCTGAGACGTAAGGGTCTCGCGCGGACGCCGCTGCGGCTGCATCTGGCCACCGCCAGAAACTCCCCACTGAACAGCTTTGCCGCGACTGCCACTACGGCTGCCGCCATCACTCTCACTGCTGCCACCACCGCCGTCACAAATCCCACCGCTACCACGAAGAGAAGTCATAGCGGGCAAACCGAGGAGGCGTGCGACCAGCAGGGCAGCACTCAGAGAAGGCAGGGCGGCGAGCAGGCACTAGAGTAGCGTGTAGGGTAATGCAGGGCGGCGTATGGCCAAAGACGGGCGGTGCACGACCAAGGAGGGCGGCGGTCGGTCAGCAGAGCTAAGCGCGAGTTGCAGAGGGCGGCGCGACGGCAGGGGCGAGCGCGGGCTGCAGGGGCGAGCGCGGCTGCAGGGGCGAGCGCGGGCTGCAGGGGCGAGCGCGGCTGCAGGGGCGAGCGCGGGCTGCAGGGGCGAGCGCGGCTGCAGGGGCGAGCGCGGGCTGCAGGGGCAAGCACGGCTGCAGGGGCGAGCGCGGGCTGCAGGGGCGAGCGCGGGCTGCAGGGGCGAGCGCGGGCTGCAGGGGCGAGCGCGGCTGCAGGGGCGAGCGCGGGCTTCAGTGGCGAGCGCGGGCTGCGTGACACAGGGCAGGGCGTGCGCGGGGCGGCGCGATGCAGGGCAGGGGAGCGCGTACGGGCGACGCGGCGGGCTGGGGCAGCCCGCACGGGCGACGCGTCGGGCAGGGGCAGGGCGGACGGGCGACGCGACGGGCTGAGGCAGCCCGCACGGGCGATGCGACGAACCAGGGCAGGGCGTATGGGCGACGCGGCGGGCTGGGGCAGCCCGCACGGGCGACGCGACGCAACAGGCAGCAGGGGCGCGCGGCGCGACGGGCAGTAGGGGCGCGCGACGCGACGGGCAGAGCAGGGCGTGCGCGGGGCGCACGACGCAGGGCAGAGCAGGGCGTGCACGGGGCGCGTGACGCAGGGCAGGGCAGGGCGTGCACGGGGCGGCGCAGCGCAGATTAGGGCAGGGCGTGCACGGGGCGCGCGACGCAGGGCAGGGCGTGCGCGGGGCAGCGCGACGCAGGGCAGGGCGTGCGCGGGGCGGCGCAGCGCAGAGTAGGGCAGGGCGTGCGCGGGCAGCTCGACGCAACGCAAGGCAGGGCAGGGCGTGCGCGGGGCGGCGCAACGCAGGGCAGGGCAGGGCATGCGCGTGTGGTGGGGCAACGCGACGGGCAGGGTTCGATCGGTGGGCCCTAACGAGAACGGTCCTGGGACACGACTTGCTCTGATACCATGTCAGAATCAACAGCAGGAATGGAATGTGAACTAAGAGAAAGTTGGGTACAAATATGAACCCTAGGTTGGGTTGTACCCCTTTATGGGCTACCCCACTACAGCCTAAACAACATTAACATTTGACAAATTTGTACATAGTGACAACCATAGCTGCGAAACAGAATGCGTCGTGCAGTGGTTCGAGGACAAGTCAAGGGGGCTAGGTTCGACATGAAATGACCTGGCAGCTCATGCAATACTTTGTGATTGGCGTGTTCAGCTGAATGTAAACCTCGTTAAGAGTCAAAATGCGGTATATAGATTAAAAAATAAGGGTACATTCCGTTGTAGACACTTTCTCAAAGAAAGTGTCCGAATCGATTGTGACGCGTACCTACAGCATATGCTGCCAGGTGTCCGAAAGCCGGGTCGCACGTGTTTGTCGCCGAACGTATTTATCATTGGATGACGTAAAATGCGGAACAGTCGCGCGCTAATTGCACGCCAGCGCAACAAATCTCAGCCATCGCACGCGGAGCCAAATGTCAATCCATGCTGCATATACCTGGCCATCATTCTATAGGCACGGCTTTCCCCATCAACGCGTTCAATTCAGCGTGATTGGTCGACAGGACTCACACTGAATTATTGACAAGCCCGCGCACTTCCCGCCTGCGCACCTTCCCCCCATGTCCAATACACCTTCCCCGTGGTGGCGTGGTATTTCTTGTCGTGGCAATTATTGGGGGATGCGGAGGAGTTTGTACGTGTCCGCGTCCTCCGATGAAATCCCGCCTGTTCTGTTGCGGGTCATGCAGTGTTGGTGCGTGTGACGCGCTAGATGAGAGCGCCACCCACAGAAATGACCAATTGTGGTCGTCCGCAAACAATTGTCGCGCGGTCGTTCAGAGTCGCAATACATTGATCGATTGGGACATGAGGTCAAGAGACATTTGAGGGCGACTCGGGCAAAAAGTGATTCGGACACTTTCTTTGAGAAAGTGTCCACAGCGGAATGTACCCTAAGTCGGATATGTACAACTTTGGTGTCAGCTGGACAGACCTTGTAACGAATGAAGTTATGGGATAACTAGCGTGTTTAGAACAGATACATCGAGAAACCACTGTGTGAGATGCTGCAACGCCGTGCGTGAGAGTGAGGTCCATGCTATAAGATATGGCAAAGCGCATACACACACATGTTCGTGTCCTCCCAATTTGACGACTGTAGCAACCAGGTCAGCTAGAGCCTAGAGGCATGCATGCAGCCCACTCCCTCTCTCCGGCCATCATGGCCTATCGGAACCGTGCCAGCTGGCAGTCTCCCTGCTTCAAAGGCAACCTTAGCCAGTACAGAGCCCAAACTCACTACTACGTCACTAGAGTGCACAAAGCCATGTCACTTCACAATAACAGCATCAGCCACATCACAACCAGGACTCCAGTATGCTTCACTGCAACATCACCAACAGCACCATCACTCCACAGCGACAGGATCAGCCAGCAGCACGCGTGCCGCCCGCTCTTTCTCCCCCGCCATCATGGCCTCTCGGAACCGTGCCAGCTGGCGGTCTCTCATCTCCACGGGGGAAGGCGGCGGCGTGTCAAACGACCCGTACTGCTGCGCCAGGCTGGCAAACTCCTCGCCGCCCATCGCCTTCTCTTCCATCAGCTTGTCCACTAGTGCGTCTACCAGACTGCGGTTGCGCCTTAGAATCTGGGGGGGCAAAGGTGGGGGAAGAGGGGAGGAGGACAGGGGGTGAATGGAGAGGAAAAGGTATGGGAGCTTGACCAGCTGGTCCACTAGTGCACCCGCCTGTGGTTGCGACGCAGAATCTGACTACGCTAGGAGTGGGCGGGGCAAGGGAGAGGTGTGAGAGTGAGGGGAGCGGAGAGAGGGTTGTGGCAAGGCTAGGGAGAAGCAGCACCTTGTCGTGCCTCGGGCAGCAGCTTGTCCACAGCCTTGCCGCATCCCTCCATGGTCTGAGCCGAGCGTGCCAGATCTGAGCCAAGGTCAGTCTGCCAGATCCGTGCTGACGGGCATAATGTGTAAGCGTTCCGCACCCATTGGTCGCACAACAAACCGTCCCCACCTGAGCCACACCCACCTGAGCCACACCCACCTGAGCCACACCCACCTGAGCCACACCCACCTGAGCCACACCCACCTGAGCCACACCCACCTGAGCCACACCCACCTGAGCCACACCCACCTGAGCCACACCCACCTGAGCCACACCCACCTGAGCCACACCCACCTGAGCCACACCCACCTGAGCCGCACCCACCTGAGCCGCACCCACCTGAGCCGCACCCACCTGAGCCGCACCCACCTGAGACGCACCCACCTGAGCCGCACCCACCTGAGACGCACCCACCTGAGGCACACCCACCTGAGCCGCACCCACCTGAGACGCACCCACCTGAGGCACACCCACCTGAGCCGCACCCACCTGAGACGCACCCACCTGAGGCACACCCACCTGAGCGGCCCTGGTGCGGCACTCTTCGAGAAAGCGGGTGGCGTCAGCATCAACCACCTCGTGGCGCCACGGTGCATCCACTGCCGCCACGCCGATGCCGTATAGCGCGCCATCCTCACGCGCACCTACCTCACACACCCACCTCAACCACACCCACCTCAACCACACCCACCTCAACCACACCCACCTGAGCAGCTCTCGTGCGGCACTCCTCAAGAATGCGGGAAGCATCGGCATCAACAGCCTCGCGGCACCACGGTGCGTCTACAGCCGCCACGCCGATGCCATACAGCGCACCCTCCTCACTCGCACCCACCTCAACCGACCCCTCCCCAACTGCACACACCTCAATCACACCCACCTGAGCAGCTCTCGTGCGGCACTCCTCAAGAATGCGCGAGGCGTCGGCATCAACTGCCTCACGGCGCCACGGTGCATCCACTGCCGCCACACCGATGCCGTACAGCGCTCCCTCCTCACTTGGCGCCGACAAACCATTGAGCGCCACCTGGCGCGCTGTGCGGCGCGCCACGTCAGCATGGTCCGCCCAGATGGTGCACGTCTGGCAGATGGGGATTGGTTGGAGGATGCAGGGGGGATACAGGTGAGGGATGAGTTGGTTGACAAGCAAGGCAGCGCCATTAAATATAATTTGTGAAAGGTGCACCAATATCCAGCATCCAACTCACCTCCTCCGCGCCGCTTCACATCTCGTCCGCAACCATGGGCGCCAGCTGCACGCGTCACTCGCTCAAATGCAAGCACACTTGCTATCACAACTCTCCTCCTCTTCTCCTAGTGCTCACCTCCTCTGCGCCGTTCCACATCTCATCAGCCGCCATGGGCGCCAGCTGCACTGTGATGAAGTCCCATAGGAATGCGTGCTGTGCTGTGATCAGCATGTACTTTTAAAATGTCACACACACATCCCATGCCACTCACCTCCTCGGCGCCGTTCCACATCTCATCGGCCACCATGGGCGCCAGCTGCACGGTGATGAAGTCCCGAAGGCACGAGGCAGAGATGAAGTTGGCCTTCATCTTCTGCGTGTCCACCAGCTTGTACCGCACTGAACCCTTCTCCTCCGTCATCCGCGGCACCACTGTGATCTGGATGAGTGGGGCAGGGAGAAATAGGAAGGGGGGGAAGGGGGGAGGTGGAGAGAGAGAGTAAGGAGGGGAGGGTGAGGCGAGGAAGGGTTGGGGTGAGTTGGAAAGCAAACGACATTGAACACAAACTTTCATCACCCATTTACACCCATCCACCCACTCACTCACCAGCTGAACTTTCACAACACAAAGAACCTGTTGAATGTTCATCTCAGAATTCTCAATAAACTGAATGTTCACTGAATCTTCATCACCGCACCAACTGAATGTTCACTGAAGATTCACCAACCCACTTTTAAGGCGCCTCAAAAGAAGAACCACCAACCCACCAGCTGAATGTTCACCAACCCACCTGCTGAATGTTCACCAACCCACCAGCTGAATGTTCACCAACCCACCAGCTGAATGTTCACCAGCCCACCAGCTGAATGTTCACCAGCCCACCTGCTGAATGTTCACCAACCCACCAGCTGAATGTTCACCAACCCACCAGCTGAATGTTCACCAACCCACCAGCTGAATGTTCTGGAAGTCGCGGAAGTTGAAGGCCACCACGGCCAGCGCTGCCTCGTTGAGTGCCAGCTGGCGCTGCCTGATTGGACTGCCCTCGTGGGGCGAGGGGTACCCCCCCTCCTCCAGCATGGCCGCTTGGAGCATGTCGTCTGTTGTGATCTGATGGGCGAGATAGGGGGGGAAAGAAGAGGAAAGAAGAGGAAAGAAGAGGAAAGAAGAGGAAAGAAGAGGAAAGAAGAGGAAAGAAGAGGAAAGAAGAGGAAAGAAGAGGAAAGAAGAGGAAAGAAGAGGAAAGAAGAGGAAAGAAGAGGAAAGAAGAGGAAAGAAGAGGAAAGAAGAGGAAAGAAGAGGAAAGAAGAGGAAAGAAGAGGAAAGAAGAGGAAAGAAGAGGAAAGAAGAGGAAAGAAGAGGAAAGAAGAGGAAAGAAGAGGAAAGAAGAGGAAAGAAGAGGAAAGAAGAGGAAAGAAGAGGAAAGAAGAGGAAAGAAGAGGAAAGAAGAGGAAAGAAGAGGAAAGAAGAGGAAAGAAGAGGAAAGAAGAGGAAAGAAGAAGAGGAACGTTGTGAAGGGGATATGTGGGGAGAATAAGGATACATGCCATCCCGGCAGCGGTGGCAAGGGGGAACAACAAGGGAGGACAGGGGGTGGGGGCAGAGTAAGAGAAGGTGTGCAGATTTGCTTAGGCGCACTTGAATCACCACCCACCGCACTTCACCACCCACCCACACTTCACCACCCACCGCACTTCACCACCCACCGCACTTCACCACCCACCGCACTTCACCACCCACCGCACTTCACCACCCACCGCACTTCACCACCCACCGCACTTCACCACCCACCGCACTTCACCACCCACCGCACTTCACCACGCACCGCACTTCACCACCCACCGCACTTCACCACTCACAGCATATCACCACGCACCACCCATCACCACGCACCACCCATCACCACGCACCACCCATCACCACACACCACCCATCACCACGCACCACCCATCACCACGCACCACCCAGCACCACGCACCACCCCAGCACCACGCACCACCCAGCTCCACGCACCACCCAGCACCACGCACCACCCAGCGCCACGCACCACCCAGCGCCACGCACCACCCAGCTCCACTCACCACCCATCGCCACGCACCACCCAGCGCCACGCACCACCCAGCGCCACGCACCACCCAGCGCCACGCACCACCCAGCACCACGCACCACCCAGCACCACGCACCACCCAGCGCTACGCACCACCCAGCGCCACGCACCACCACCCGCACCACGCACCACCCAGCACCACGCACCACCCAGCGCCACGCACCACCCAGCACCACGCACCACCCAGCACCACGCACCACCCATCTCCACTCACCACCCAGCACCACTACCACCCAGCGCCACGCACCACCCAGCACCACGCACCACCCAGCGCCACGCACCACCCAGCGCCACGCCCACCCAGCACCACGCACCACCCAGGGCCACGCACCACCCAGCACCACGCACCACCCAGCGCCACGCACCACCCAGCGCACTCACCACCCAGCGCCACGCACCACCCAGCGCCACGCACCACCCAGCACCACTCACCACCCAGCGCGACGCACCACCCAGCGCCACGCACCACCCAGCACCACGCACCACCCAGCACCACGCACCACCCCTCCACGCACCACCCATCACCACGCACCACCCAGCACCACGCACCACCCAGCGCCACGCACCACCCAGCACCACGCACCACCCAGCGCCACGCACCACCCAGCACCACGCACCACCCAGCGCCACCACACCACCAGCACCACGCACACCCAGCACCACACGCACCACCCAGCGCCACGCACCACCACGCGCCACCCACCACCCACCCAGCCACGCACCACCCAGCGCCACGCACCACCCAGCACCACGCACCACCCAGCACCACGCACCACCCAGCGCCACCACACCAGCACCCACGCACACCCACCAGCGCCACGCACCACCCAGCACCACGCACCACCCAGCGCCACGCACCACCCAGCGCCACGCACCACCCAGCACCACGCACCACCCAGCGCCAGCACACCCACCACCCAGCGCCACGCACCACCCAGCGCCACGCACCACCCAGCGCCACGCACCACCACCCAGCGCCCACGCACCACCCAGCACCACGCACCACCCAGCGCCACGCACCACCCAGCGCCACGCACCACCCAGCGCCACGCACCACCCAGCGCCACGCACCACCCAGCGCACGCACCACCCAGCGCCACGCACCACCCAGCGCCACGCACCACCAGCACCACGCACCACCCAGCACCACGCACCACCCAGCACCACGCACCACCCAGCACCACGCACCACCCATCGCCACGCACCACCCAGCACCACGCACCACCCAGCACCACGCACCACCCAGCGCCACGCACCACCCAGCGCCACGCACCACCCAGCGCCACGCACCACCCAGCGCCACGCACCACCCAGCGCCACGCACCACCCAGCGCCACGCACCACCCAGCGCCACGCACCACCCAGCACCACGCACCACCCAGCACCCACGCACCACCCAGCACCACGCACCACCCAGCACCACGCACCACCCAGCGCCACGCACCACCAGCACCACGCACCACCCAGCACCACGCACCACCCAGCGCCACGCACCACCCAGCACCACGCACCACCCAGCGCCACGCACCACCCAGCGCCACGCACCACCCAGCGCCACGCACCACCCAGCGCCACGCACCACCCCACCACGCACCACCCAGCACCACGCACCACCCAGCGCCACGCACCACCCAGCGCCACGCACCACCCAGCACCACGCACCACCCAGCACCACGCACCACCCAGCGCCACGCACCACCCAGCGCCACGCACCACCCATCACCACGCACCACACAGCACCACGCACCACCCATCGCCACGCACCACCCAGCGCCACTCACCACCCAGCACCACGCACACCACCCATCACCACGCACCACCCATCACCACGCACCACCCATCACCACGCACCACCCAGCGCCACGCACCACCCAGCACCACGCACCACCCAGCGCCACGCACCACCCATCGCCACGCACCACCCAGCGCCACGCACCACCCAGCACCACGCACCACCCAGCACCACGCACCACCCAGCACCACGCACCACCCAGCACCACGCACCACCACAGCACCACGCACCACCCCAGCCCATCGCCACCACCACACCTCACCACGCACCACCCAGCACCACTCACCACCCAGCGCCACGCACCACCCAGCGCCACGCACCACCCAGCGCCACGCACCACCCAGCGCCACGCACCACCCATCGCCACGCACCACCCAGCGCCACGCACCACACGCACCACCCATCGCCACGCACCACCCATCACCACGCACCACCCATCACCACTCACCACCCATCACCACGCACCCCCAGCGCCACGCACCACCCATCACCACTCACCACCCATCACCACTCACCACCCATCGCCACTCACCACCCATCACCACGCACCACCCATCTCCACGCACACCCTCTCCACCACCACCCATCTCCACTCACCACCCATCTCACCACCACCCATCTCCACTCACCACCCATCACCACTCACCACCCATCTCCACTCACCACCCATCTCCACTCACCACCCATCACCACTCACCACACATCACCACTCACCACCCATCTCCACTCACCACCCATCTCCACTCACCACCCATCACCACTCACCACCCATCACCACTCACCAACCATCACCACTCACCACCCATCACCACTCACCACCCATCACCACTCACCACCCATCTCCACTCACCACCCATCACCACTCACCACCCATCTCACTCACCACCCATCTCCACTCACCACCCATCTCCACTCACCACCCATCACCACTCACCACCCATCACCACTCACCACCCATCACCACTCACCACCATCTCCACTCACCACCCATCTCCACTCACCACCCATCACCACTCACCACCCATCACCACTCACCACCCATCTCCACTCACCACCCATCTCCACTCACCACCCATCACCACTCACCACCCATCACCACTCACCACCCATCTCCACTCACCACCCATCTCCACTCACCACCCATCCCACTCACCACCCATCACCACTCACCTCGGATCGATTCTCCCGCAGCACTCTGAGCGCCGCCACATCAACCACGTTCGCCAGCTCAGCGCCCGACATGCCATCTGTCACCTGCGCCACCGCCTCAAAGTCCACGTCATCATCCAGCACCTGTTGCGGCTGTGCACCTGCGGGAGGGGGAACATCGAGGAAGAAGGGGTGATTATAGGGAGTGTGATGTTAGGAATGATGCGACCTTTGCATGGACTCGAGAGACACCATGTCATCATCCAGCACCTTGTTGCGACTGTGCACCTGCGGGACGGACAGCGAGAAAGGGGTGTGATTATAAGGAGTGTGATGATAGGAATGCAGTGACCTTTGAGTCGCTCATCCAGCACCTTGTTGCGGCTGTGCCTGAGAGGGGTGTGATTGTAAGGAGTGTGGTTGTAGGGGGATGTGATTGTATGGATAGAACGCGATTGTGTGAGGAGTCCTCATCGCCTAATCACCACAACCCAACTACCAGCAGCACCACACCACCCTTCGAACAAAGACCTTCCTCAGGTGAAACCAACAGAGAACTCAGGTTAAAAAAACAGAGATCGGTCAGCAAGCAGCAAGGCCCCTCACCTCAAGAATCTGAGCTCGCCCCTTGAGGCTCGGCTTCGGGATGTAAATCTTTCGGTCGAACCTGCCCGGGCGCACCAGGGCAGCATCCAAAAATCTGGCCGGTTGGTGGCTGCTATGGTGATGACGTCACCTCTGCCCTCAAATCCATCCAGACACGTCAGCAGCTGTAGAGGTGTGTGGAGGGAGCGAGTGGGAGTAGTGAGAGAAGGCAGTTTAAGCGGGTGGAAAATGGGACAGGATTTCATGGAAAAAGCAGTCCATGAAAGTGGAGTGAAGTGAAGTGAAGTGAAGTCAATGAGACAACGATTTTGAGACATCTAAAAACGGCTTGTGGAGAGTGAAAACCAGGGAGAAAAAAGCCCACACCCACCTGGTTCAGAGTGGCGTCCCTCTCCTGCCCGCCAGACCCCTCAGTGAGCCCCCTCTGCCGTCCCACGGCATCCAGCTCGTCAATAAAAACCACCGACGGCGCATTCTCCCGGGCCTCATTGTAGAGCGCACGCACGCGGCTGGCCCCCACGCCCACGAAGATCTCCACAAACTGACTCGCCGACACCGAGAAGAAGCTCACCCCCGCCTCTCCTGCCACTGCTTTGGCCAGCAGAGTTTTCCCGCTGCCCGGCTCGCCGCACAGCAGGATGCCCGAGGGGATCTTGGAGCCGCGGCGGCGGTACTTCTCGGCGGACTGGAAGAACTCTCCACACCCACCTCCTCCAGTTCGCGGCGGATCTCACCCAGTCCTGCTACGTCTGAGAACTTGACCTCGGCGCTCAGGTCCAGTAGGTGGGACGGCGCGTGCGCTGGGTATAGAAGGGAGGATTGGGGAGGTTTAGGAATCAGATTGGATGGAGAAATGGGGCGGAAGAAGGGGGTGGGTGAGGGGAACGAGAGAGAAGGGAACTTGGAGCCCCGGCAGCGAGGTGACTTTTGAGTCGACTCAAAAGTCACAGCGGCACTTCTCAGCGGACTGGAAGAAGTTGACTAACTCCTCCAACACATGCCTAATCTCACTGAGGCCTGCTACGTCAGAGAACTTGACTTCTGCGCTGGGATGGGATGGGATGGGACGGCGCGTGCGTGCATTGGGATGGGATGGGATGGGAGGATTGAGAGGGATAGGAGGGAGAGAGGGACACCCAAGTTGGTAAGGGGATTCTGAGAGGGTAAACCCTAAACCCTGAGCCTGAAACCCTCCAGCTCGCGCATGATTTCACACTCCGCTTGGGAACCTGGTGGCGGAGATGTTAGTACTTGTGCACTCTGAAATGGCACTTCGGACCCCGGGTCCAGGCACGTGTGTGCGGCACCATCCCCGTTCCCCAGTCAGAAAGAAAAAAAGCTACTTTCCCCCTTCTGCCCTCCCCCTCTCTCACCTTACCCTTGCGTGCATGGCACACTATAGCCCCGGACCACATGAACCTCATGCCAGCCACAGCGGTGCATGCAGAACAAGTTCAGCCTTGTATTTTCAATGTGAGCAAGAATCAGTGAATATGAGAGCAATCTCGTCGTTTCCCCTCACCTTGCCCTTGCGAGCACGCCGCACTTTAGCCCCGGAGCGCATGAAGCGCATGCCAGCCAGAATCGCCTGGTTCTTCTCCTCCTCCACCTTCCCCTCCCCTTCCCCCTCGCCTTCTCCCCTCGCCCTTCCCATCACCCTTACCATCCCCCCCCTTCTCCCCCCGCAACCACCACCCCAGCCTTCTTCCCGCCCTTCCTCTCCCTCTCTTTCTCCCGCTCCGCCTCCTCCTCCTCCCTCGCCTCCATCTCCTCCATATCCTCCTCCCCCCTCCATCTTCCTCCTCTCCTCTTCCGCCGCCCGTTCCAACTTGATCCGATCCTCATAATCCTTCCGCTTCTTCTTCACGTTCACAATAATCCCAAAGTAGAAAAAGACAAAGAACGCCGCCCCGATGAGGAACCGCACGCCCTCGTTATTGGCCGCCTGCTTGTAGAACGACGCCCACCGCTCCTGCTGGGCCACCTGCGCCACAATCTTCTTTCTCCTCTCCTCTACATTCTTCTCCGCTGCTCCCCTCTTCTTTCCTCGCGCCCCTCCCTGCCTCTGCTCCTGCTCCTCCTGCTGCTGCGCTCCTCTCCTCCTCTCAGCCCTCCTCCTCTCCTCCCTCTCCATCCGAATTCTCTCCTCTCTTTGCCTCTTGAGCTCTCTTTCCATCTCCACCCTCCTCCTCTCCGTCTCCTTCCTCTCCTCAGCAAGTCTCTTCACACGCTCCTTCAAAGCAGCTTCCGCTTTCTGCTTAGCAGTAAGAACCTTTTCCTTCCCCTTCCCCTTCCCCTTCCCCTCCCCGCACTCTCCCCCGCCCCCCTCCGCTCCGCCCTTCCCTTTCCCCCAGACCCCTCCGTCCGCCCCCCCTCCCCCCACCCACCCCCAGTCCTGCAGAAACTTCAAGGAAGGACCCCAGAGCCCCCAGGGTTGCATGACGGGCGGCGCGGGCGGCGGCGAGAAGGCGTTGACGGTGAGCGAATCTAGACTGAGATCCTTCCATGCCGCCCAGAAGGCCGGGTCGCGGTCTAGGGGCGGCAGCATGCAGCGCACCACACGGTCTCTTTTAGCACTAAGAATACGCGCTCGGGCTCCGCCTGGGTAGGAGAAGAAGTGTGGGAGGGGGAAGGGGAGAGTTGCTTGGGGTGCGTGCAGGCAGCATGCGGCTCCGACTGGGGAGGGGAAGAAGGAAGACAGGGGTGTGGGGAGAGATAGTGTGGGGAGAGATAGTGTGGGGAGAGATAGTGTGGGGAGAGATAGCGTGGGGGTAGGGCGGGAGGTCAGCTGGGGGTGCACGCGTGCAGCATGCAGTGCACCACACGGTCGTCCTTGAGCACAAGGAACACTCGCTCGGGCTCCAACTGGAAGGGGGAGAAGGAAGGTGGGGGAAGAGTGGGTGCATGAAGGCAGCATACAGCGCACCACACGGTCGTCCTTGAGCACAAGGAACACTCTCGCAGGCTCCAGCTAAGGAGGGCAAGAAGAGGCAGGATTGAGAGTGGGAGTGTAGGGCGGGGGTTGTGGGCGCCTGCGAGTATGGCGCGCGCTGATGCACCACCAGCAAACCCCCCGACACGTGCGTGCCACGTGCTACGAGCGGGCAACTGACTCACACTCGACTCACAATCGACTTGACTCACCTGGAGTGAGGATTGCGGGTGTTTGATGATGTGTTTCAGCTCGTTGGCTTTCTTCAGCGCCACCACCTGCGAGTACGGCACGCGCTCCTGCACCACGGGCAGCCCGCGCGCCCACGCCTCGCGCTCCTCCACCTCCATCGTCGCCGCCTCCCGCCCCCCCTTGCGCTCCCGCCCGGACTTCTTCCCCTTGCGCTTACCCCCCGCCGCTGCTCCGCCTGCGCCCGCCGCTGCGCCTGCCGCCGCGGCTGTTCCCCCGCCTGCCGCCGCGCCTTCCTCTGCAGCAGCTGCAGTCGTTGCTGCTTCCGCCCCTACAACCTCAGAAGCTGCTGCCGCCGCGTTTGCCGCGATGCTGCTGCATCCGAACCACTTGCTACAGACGGCGCTGCTGGTGGCGCCGCAGCAGGTGCTACAGCTGGTGCTACAGCCGGAGCTGCTGCTGCCGTTTTTGACGGGGCTTTCAGCACCGCAGACGCGGCGTGAGCTGGCAGCGACGCCGCCAGCTGTGCACCAATCATCGCCATACACGTGGCAGCTAGCAATACGCCGGACAGAGGGAATGATGATTCCGACGAACCTTCCACATTTTGGTTGCTGATGCTGCTTTCCCGCTCAATAGCCACGTCGCTTAGATTTCCCGCCCGATCCACGTGTACAGGGCTTGCTGACTCGGACGCGCTACACCGTACCCTAAACCTCGTCGATCTCACTCCAATCCCTGCGCTGCGCACGCCACGTGACAACGAGCTATCGGAAGGACACGACCGTACCCACGTGGAGGAGCTGCCAGCGTGGCATGGCCTGATAATGAACGGCGACGATGATATCCGCGATCTTAAATTCCCCGTGACCTGCTCATGCTTATGCGGCACAGACGCGCGGATAACGGCTCCGATCGCGCTCATGGGTCGGACACCCGACGCAGAGGCGACGAGCCCATTCGACCCGTTGATGATACGAGACGGCATTGCAAGAGGACGCCTGACGTACGCTCGAGGTAACGGAGTGCTGCGAGGTCGACAGCGACGGGAGTCGGGTCGCACGGCAGCTCTGGCTGGCCGCGCACCTGTCCATGATGGCGCGACTCAGCGACAACGCGTGGTTTTCTACAGGCTACAGATGCGGGTGATGACGAGTAACTTTGGATTTCGCAACAAGAGGCTACGTTGCCATCATGGATGTGCGCGTGTGTCGCTTGCGACTTCGATAATTTCGCCAAGAGTCACTCACGAGCCAGAGCAGAAGTGGGTCTAAAGCTCGTCGCAACGCCAGCAGCGAGAGGATCGGCCGCGCTGCATCAGCGAGGATGCTTCCTCCGTCGTTGTTATGCTGTGCTATGGGGACAGCGCGAAATGCGGGCGAGGAAGGGGAGGGGTGAGGGGAAGGCAGAGGAGAAAGGGTTGGGGCGCCTTGAAATTGGATGATGCTGTGGTATGTCTGTGGTATTGTGCGGTTCCGTGTGGTTTAGTAGTGTGCGTTGCTGTTTGAATACGCATCATATCAGAACGCGATAAAATAAATCCTTGCAGTAAATGACAAAATTTTGGTTGAATACATCAGTGTTGGTGTTGTTTCGTTTTCCACGGATAAATTGGATTTTCCAGGGAAGAAAACGCTTTCCCAGGGAACAAACTTAGGAAAAGTCAAGAGACTAAGCCGAGGTTGTCCATGTCATGGGAGGATTCTACCAATAATCCGGCTAAGGCGGTACATTACCTGCCGTCCATTCTAAGGGCATATCCGGCTCGTAGCCTCGTACACCTCCTGCACATTCTTTGCGGATTAATGCTTTTCGTTGAGGTGAATTTCGGTAAAATTCACTGTGCGAAACCGTCTCCAGCCACGAAGCATGCAAGCAGCGGCCAGCATTAAATGTACGACCCAGACACCCACTAAGATTCTACAGATCCTTTAGCAAGCAGCAGCAGCAGCGCATGGGTCACACTCGCACCAACGTCCGTCCTTCTCGTCCTCCGTATGGGACACTCCGTTTTCACCACGCAACGCGATTCCCTCTCTTCCGTCCTGCTCGGCTTGCTCCCTAGCAATGTCCGTCGAAGCGTGTCCTTTCAGTCCTCCTACCCCGATCGGCGGCCGGCATTCCGCGGCCCCCCTCTGCCGGCCCGCCATCCTCCCTCCTCCCCGCGTTCTCCGCTGCAACAGGATCTTCCGACGGCTGCGATCGTCGCTGCGGTTCTGGCTGCAATCGTGGCCGTTCTCTCTCGCGCGCGTCAAGTCGTCTCGCTCACTCTCACGCCAGGCTTCCTCGATCGGCGACGAACCTCCGGACTCTTCCCTTCCTCCCCGCTCCCCCCGCTTCTCCTGCCTGCGGAAGCCGCACCCGCTAGCGCTGCTCCTGCTAGCCGCGGCGCTACTCAGCCTGTGGGATGTAGAATTCGTGGTTGAGATCGGTGACGATCGCACGCGCGCTGCTTCAAGCACGATAGGAGGGGAAAATCAGAGGAGGAGGGGAAGATGGGGAGCTGAGGAAAGCTTACGTCATCCGACGTCACTGTACCCGTCGCTGCGGCTGGATGAGGGAAACCGCGCGACGCCGATGCGAGGCCGGCTGCTGGGCCTCGCGGCGCAATCGCTGGTGGCGGTGAGTGAGTGTGTGGGGGGGAGTGTGGTGCGGGAGGGGAGTGGAGGGGAGGGGGAAGCCACCAGAGACGCAGCAGTGACCAATCTCGCGGCGCCGATGCGAGGGCGGCTGCTGGGCCTGGCGGCACAGTCGCTGGTGGCGATGAGTGAGTGTGTGGGGGGAGGTGGGAGGGCGGGTAAGGGGGGGGAGAGTAGGTGAAAAAATAATATTTTATGAGGCACCTCAAAAGTGTGCGGGGAGGTGAGGAGGGGGAGCTGGTGGTGGCGGTGAGTGCATTTTTTAGTCGACTAAAAAATCGTCTCATCATCACGTGGTGGTGAGTGCAGTGCAGCCCAGCCGTCCCCCTCTCCTCCCTCTCCCCACCCAGCCCCTATCCTCCTCTCCATGTCAGATCAGAAGCAGAGCAGATAGCTTAAGTCGTCTATTTTCCTTTCCATCATCGTCCACATTCATACTCGCCAACCCACCAACTCGCCAGACCTCCCTTGCCCCAGACCTCCCTTGCCCCAGACCTCCCTTGCCCCAGATCGTTGCCTGCCAGTGCCACCACCACATGCACAAGCAATGGCAGCCAGAGCAGCCAGGGTTTTTTCCTTTCCAGTATCGATCATTACCCCCCACTTAAGTCTCCCCATCTGCCTCCCTTACTCACGCCGGATATCCCCGCCTTGTCATCCTTCTTTCCGTCCCGTCCCGACGTCCAGAAGCAGCGACTTTTGAGGCGCCTCAAAAGTCTGCCGGCACTGCTGCTGCTCACTGTGCCAGCCCTTCACTGACGAACGCCGCTGCTGGCTGGCGCTGCTGTCGCCTCGCCTCACATCCACCCCTGCCCCCATTTCCCCCCTCCCCTCCCCCATCAGAAGCAGTGACAGCCCGAGCCGCGACACGTGTGGGGGGGGAGTGCAGAGGTGCAGCAGCGGGTGGACGTGAGGCAACGTGCTCATGCTCAACACTCCTCTCCTCTCATGCTCAACACTCCTCTCCTCTCATGCTCAACACTCCTCTCCTCTCATGCTCAACACTCCTCTCCTCTCATGCTCAAACCTCCTCTCCTCTCATGCTCAACACTCCTCTCCTCTCATGCTCAACACTCCTCTCCTCTCATGCTCAACACTCCTCTCCTCTCATGCTCAACACTCCTCTCCTCTCATGCTCAACACTCCTCTCCTCTCATGCTCAACACTCCTCTCCTCTCATGCTCAACACTCCTCTCCTCTCATGCTCAACACTCCTCTCCTCTCATGCTCAACACTCCTCTCCTCTCATGCTCAACACTCCTCTCCTCTCATGCTCAACACTCCTCTCCTCTCATGCTCAACACTCCTCTCCTCTCATGCTCAACACTCCTCTCCTCTCATGCTCAACACTCCTCTCCTCTCATGCTCAACACTCCTCTCCTCTCATGCTCAACACTCCTCTCCTCTCATGCTCAACACTCCTCTCCTCTCATGCTCAACACTCCTCTCCTCTCATGCTCAACACTCCTCTCCTCTCATGCTCAACACTCCTCTCCTCTCATGCTCAACACTCCTCTCCTCTCATGCTCAACACTCCTCTCCTCTCATGCTCAACACTCCTCTCCTCTCATGCTCAACACTCCTCTCCTCTCATGCTCAACACTCCTCTCCTCTCATGCTCAACACTCCTCTCCTCTCATGCTCAACACTCCTCTCCTCTCATGCTCAACACTCCTCTCCTCTCATGCTCAACACTCCTCTCCTCTCATGCTCAACACTCCTCTCCTCTCATGCTCAACACTCCTCTCCTCTCATGCTCAACACTCCTCTCCTCTCATGCTCAACACTCCTCTCTCTCATGCTCAAAACTCTCTCCTCTCATGCTCAACACTCCTCTCCTCTCATGCTCAACACTCCTCTCATGCTCAACACTCCTCTCCTCTCATGCTCAACACTCCTCTCCTCTCATGCTCAACACTCCTCTCCTCTCATGCTCAACACTCCTCTCCTCTCATGCTCAACACTCCTCTCCTCTCATGCTCAACACTCCTCTCCTCTCATGCTCAACACTCCTCTCCTCTCATGCTCAACACTCCTCTCCTCTCATGCTCAACACTCCTCTCCTCTCATGCTCAACACTCCTCTCCTCTCATGCTCAACACTCCTCTCCTCTCATGCTCAACCTCTCCCTCTCATGCTCAACACTCCTCTCCTCTCATGCTCAACACTCCTCTCCTCTCATGCTCAACACTCCTCTCCTCTCATGCTCAACACTCCTCTCCTCTCATGCTCAACACTCCTCTCCTCTCATGCTCAACACTCCTCTCCTCTCATGCTCAACACTCCTCTCCTCTCATGCTCAACACTCCTCTCCTCTCATGCTCAACACTCCTCTCCTCTCATGCTCAACACTCCTCTCCTCTCATGCTCAACACTCCTCTCCTCTCATGCTCAACACTCCTCTCCTCTCATGCTCAACACTCCTCTCCTCTCATGCTCAACACTCCTCTCCTCTCATGCTCAACACTCCTCTCCTCTCATGCTCAACACTCCTCTCCTCTCATGCTCAACACTCCTCTCCTCTCATGCTCAACACTCCTCTCCTCTCATGCTCACACTCTCCTCTCCTCTCATGCTCAACACTCCTCTCCTCTCATGCTCAACACTCCTCTCCTCTCATGCTCAACACTCCTCTCCTCTCATGCTCAACACTCCTCTCCTCTCATGCTCAACACTCCTCTCCTCTCATGCTCAACACTCCTCTCCTCTCATGCTCAACACTCCTCTCCTCTCATGCTCAACACTCCTCTCCTCTCATGCTCAACACTCCTCTCCTCTCATGCTCAACACTCCTCTCCTCTCATGCTCAACACTCCTCTCCTCTCATGCTCAACACTCCTCTCCTCTCATGCTCAACACTCCTCTCCTCTCATGCTCAACACTCCTCTCCTCTCATGCTCAACACTCCTCTCCTCTCATGCTCAACACTCCTCTCCTCTCATGCTCAACACTCCTCTCCTCTCATGCTCAACACTCCTCTCCTCTCATGCTCAACACTCCTCTCCTCTCATGCTCAACACTCCTCTCCTCTCATGCTCAACACTCCTCTCCTCTCATGCTCAACACTCCTCTCCTCTCATGCTCAAACACTCCTCCTCCTCTCCTCTCATGCTCAACACTCCTCTCCTCTCATGCTCAACACTCCTCTCCTCTCATGCTCAACACTCCTCTCCTCTCATGCTCAACACTCCTCTCCTCTCATGCTCAACACTCCTCTCCTCTCATGCTCAACACTCCTCTCCTCTCATGCTCAACACTCCTCTCCTCTCATGCTCAACACTCCTCTCCTCTCATGCTCAACACTCCTCTCCTCTCATGCTCAACACTCCTCTCCTCTCATGCTCAACACTCCTCTCCTCTCATGCTCAACACTCCTCTCCTCTCATGCTCAACACTCCTCTCCTCTCATGCTCAACACTCCTCTCCTCTCATGCTCAACACTCCTCTCCTCTCATGCTCAACACTCCTCTCCTCTCATGCTCAACACTCCTCTCCTCTCATGCTCAACACTCCTCTCCTCTCATGCTCAACACTCCTCTCCTCTCATGCTCAACACTCCTCTCCTCTCATGCTCAACACTCCTCTCCTCTCATGCTCAACACTCCTCTCCTCTCATGCTCAACACTCCTCTCCTCTCATGCTCAACACTCCTCTCCTCTCATGCTCAACACTCCTCTCCTCTCATGCTCAACACTCCTCTCCTCTCATGCTCAACACTCCTCTCCTCTCATGCTCAACACTCCTCTCCTCTCATGCTCAACACTCCTCTCCTCTCATGCTCAACACTCCTCTCCTCTCATGCTCAACACTCCTCTCCTCTCATGCTCAACACTCCTCTCCTCTCATGCTCAACACTCCTCTCCTCTCATGCTCAACACTCCTCTCCTCTCATGCTCAACACTCCTCTCCTCTCATGCTCAACACTCCTCTCCTCTCATGCTCAACACTCCTCTCCTCTCATGCTCAACACTCCTCTCCTCTCATGCTCAACACTCCTCTCCTCTCATGCTCAACACTCCTCTCCTCTCATGCTCAACACTCCTCTCCTCTCATGCTCAACACTCCTCTCCTTCATTTCAACACTCCTCTCCTCTCATGCTCAACACTCCTCTCCTCTCATGCTCAACACTCCTCTCCTCTCATGCTCAACACTCCTCTCCTCTCATGCTCAACACTCCTCTCCTCTCATGCTCAACACTCCTCTCCTCTCATGCTCAACACTCCTCTCCTCTCATGCTCAACACTCCTCTCCTCTCATGCTCAACACTCCTCTCCTCTCATGCTCAACACTCCTCTCCTCTCATGCTCAACACTCCTCTCCTCTCATGCTCAACACTCCTCTCCTCTCATGCTCAACACTCCTCTCCTCTCATGCTCAACACTCCTCTCCTCTCATGCTCAACACTCCTCTCCTCTCATGCTCAACACTCCTCTCCTCTCATGCTCAACACTCCTCTCCTCTCATGCTCAACACTCCTCTCCTCTCATGCTCAACACTCCTCTCCTCTCATGCTCAACACTCCTCTCCTCTCATGCTCAACACTCCTCTCCTCTCATGCTCAACACTCCTCTCCTCTCATGCTCAACACTCCTCTCCTCTCATGCTCAACACTCCTCTCCTCTCATGCTCAACACTCCTCTCCTCTCATGCTCAACACTCCTCTCCTCTCATGCTCAACACTCCTCTCCTCTCATGCTCAACACTCCTCTCCTCTCATGCTCAACACTCCTCTCCTCTCATGCTCAACACTCCTCTCCTCTCATGCTCAACACTCCTCTCCTCTCATGCTCAACACTCCTCTCCTCTCATGCTCAACACTCCTCTCCTCTCATGCTCAACACTCCTCTCCTCTCATGCTCAACACTCCTCTCCTCTCATGCTCAACACTCCTCTCCTCTCATGCTCAACACTCCTCTCCTCTCATGCTCAACACTCCTCTCCTCTCATGCTCAACACTCCTCTCCTCTCATGCTCAACACTCCTCTCCTCTCATGCTCAACACTCCTCTCCTCTCATGCTCAACACTCCTCTCCTCTCATGCTCAACACTCCTCTCCTCTCATGCTCAACACTCCTCTCCTCTCATGCTCAACACTCCTCTCCTCTCATGCTCAACACTCCTCTCCTCTCATGCTCAACACTCCTCTCCTCTCATGCTCAACACTCCTCTCCTCTCATGCTCAACACTCCTCTCCTCTCATGCTCAACACTCCTCTCCTCTCATGCTCAACACTCCTCTCCTCTCATGCTCAACACTCCTCTCCTCTCATGCTCAACACTCCTCTCCTCTCATGCTCAACACTCCTCTCCTCTCATGCTCAACACTCCTCTCCTCTCATGCTCAACACTCCTCTCCTCTCATGCTCAACACTCCTCTCCTCTCATGCTCAACACTCCTCTCCTCTCATGCTCAACACTCCTCTCCTCTCATGCTCAACACTCCTCTCCTCTCATGCTCAACACTCCTCTCCTCTCATGCTCAACACTCCTCTCCTCTCATGCTCAACACTCCTCTCCTCTCATGCTCAACACTCCTCTCCTCTCATGCTCAACACTCCTCTCCTCTCATGCTCAACACTCCTCTCTCTGCTCCTCTCATGCTCAACACTCCTCTCCTCTCATGCTCAACACTCCTCTCCTCTCATGCTCAACACTCCTCTCCTCTCATGCTCAACACTCCTCTCCTCTCATGCTCAACACTCCTCTCCTCTCATGCTCAACACTCCTCTCCTCTCATGCTCAACACTCCTCTCCTCTCATGCTCAACACTCCTCTCCTCTCATGCTCAACACTCCTCTCCTCTCATGCTCAACACTCCTCTCCTCTCATGCTCAACACTCCTCTCCTCTCATGCTCAACACTCCTCTCCTCTCATGCTCAACACTCCTCTCCTCTCATGCTCAACACTCCTCTCCTCTCATGCTCAACACTCCTCTCCTCTCATGCTCAACACTCCTCTCCTCTCATGCTCAACACTCCTCTCCTCTCATGCTCAACACTCCTCTCCTCTCATGCTCAACACTCCTCTCCTCTCATGCTCAACACTCCTCTCCTCTCATGCTCAACACTCCTCTCCTCTCATGCTCAACACTCCTCTCCTCTCATGCTCAACACTCCTCTCCTCTCATGCTCAACACTCCTCTCCTCTCATGCTCAACACTCCTCTCCTCTCATGCTCAACACTCCTCTCCTCTCATGCTCAACACTCCTCTCCTCTCATGCTCAACACTCCTCTCCTCTCATGCTCAACACTCCTCTCCTCTCATGCTCAACACTCCTCTCCTCTCATGCTCAACACTCCTCTCCTCTCATGCTCAACACTCCTCTCCTCTCATGCTCAACACTCCTCTCCTCTCATGCTCAACACTCCTCTCCTCTCATGCTCAACACTCCTCTCCTCTCATGCTCAACACTCCTCTCCTCTCATGCTCAACACTCCTCTCCTCTCATGCTCAACACTCCTCTCCTCTCATGCTCAACACTCCTCTCCTCTCATGCTCAACACTCCTCTCCTCTCATGCTCAACACTCCTCTCCTCTCATGCTCAACACTCCTCTCCTCTCATGCTCAACACTCCTCTCCTCTCATGCTCAACACTCCTCTCCTCTCATGCTCAACACTCCTCTCCTCTCATGCTCAACACTCCTCTCCTCTCATGCTCAACACTCCTCTCCTCTCATGCTCAACACTCCTCTCCTCTCATGCTCAACACTCCTCTCCTCTCATGCTCAACACTCCTCTCCTCTCATGCTCAACACTCCTCTCCTCTCATGCTCAACACTCCTCTCCTCTCATGCTCAACACTCCTCTCCTCTCATGCTCAACACTCCTCTCCTCTCATGCTCAACACTCCTCTCCTCTCATGCTCAACACTCCTCTCCTCTCATGCTCAACACTCCTCTCCTCTCATGCTCAACACTCCTCTCCTCTCATGCTCAACACTCCTCTCCTCTCATGCTCAACACTCCTCTCCTCTCATGCTCAACACTCCTCTCCTCTCATGCTCAACACTCCTCTCCTCTCATGCTCAACACTCCTCTCCTCTCATGCTCAACACTCCTCTCCTCTCATGCTCAACACTCCTCTCCTCTCATGCTCAACACTCCTCTCCTCTCATGCTCAACACTCCTCTCCTCTCATGCTCAACACTCCTCTCCTCTCATGCTCAACACTCCTCTCCTCTCATGCTCAACACTCCTCTCCTCTCATGCTCAACACTCCTCTCCTCTCATGCTCAACACTCCTCTCCTCTCATGCTCAACACTCCTCTCCTCTCATGCTCAACACTCCTCTCCTCTCATGCTCAACACTCCTCTCCTCTCATGCTCAACACTCCTCTCCTCTCATGCTCAACACTCCTCTCCTCTCATGCTCAACACTCCTCTCCTCTCATGCTCAACACTCCTCTCCTCTCATGCTCAACACTCCTCTCCTCTCATGCTCAACACTCCTCTCCTCTCATGCTCAACACTCCTCTCCTCTCATGCTCAACACTCCTCTCCTCTCATGCTCAACACTCCTCTCCTCTCATGCTCAACACTCCTCGTCTCTTCCTCCCCCTCCCTCCTTCCTTCTCCACTCTCCCCCATCAGAAGCAGTGGCAGCGCGAGCCACCAGTCCTGTGGGAGGAGCCCTCAGAGACACAGCAAGTGCTCGCACTCAGAATCACCTGTCCTCGCCCTCTAACTCCCTCCCTCCGTCCCTCCGTCCCTCCATCCATCCATCCATCCATCCATCCCCCCCTCCCTCCCCCATCAGAAGCAGTGGCAGCGCGAGCCACTGGACCTGTGGGAGGAGCCCGCAGAGGCGCAGCAGTGGCGCCCATGCGCACTCGCCCATCCCGCTCCTCCCCCTCCTGCCACTGCTGCAGACAGGGAGGATGTGGGTCCGTTCTTCTCTGTGGCAGCCAAGGGCGGTTTCAGCCAGCTCAGAGTCGCGGTAAGTTTTGCTTGCCTCTGTGCCTCTGTGGGTTGGTTGCCTGCCTGTGTGTCAGTTGCTTGCATCCCCATACATCCACCCACCCCCTCATGCTGCATTCCTCCCTACCGCCATGTGCTCATCAGCTCCATGGTGGGGAAGCAGGCAAGCATTCCACTCATTCTTCCTCCCACTGCACCCTCTCTTCTTCTCATGTGTTGTCCCTCTCTTTCTCCCACTTCGCATATCCCGCTCTTCCTCACACTTGCAATGGAATCGCTCTTCCTCACACTTGCAATGGAATCGCTCTTCCTCACACTTGCAGTGGAATCGCTCTTCCTCACACTTGCAATGGAATCGCTCTTCCTCACACTTGCAATGGAATCGCTCTTCCTCACACTTGCAATGGAATCGCTCTTCCTCACACTTGCAATGGAATCGCTCTTCCTCACACTTGCAATGGAATTGCTCTTCCTCACACTTGCAATGGAATCGCTCTTCCTCACACTTGCAATGGAATCGCTCTTCCTCACACTTGCAATGGAATCGCTCTTCCTCACACTTGCAATGGAATCGCTCTTCCTCACACTTGCAATGGAATCGCTCTCTGCATTCCTCCCTCCCTCCCTCCGTCTCCCTCCCGCTCGCCCCTCCTTCCCGCACCCACCTCTGCCCCTCTCTCCCTCTCCTCCGCCATACCTCATCCCCCCTACCCCCTGTCTGACCGTGCACACCCTATTACCCCGCCCGTGCTCGCCTGCCCTGTTGCTCCAAGCCTACTTCTCCCCCCGTTTCTCAGGCATGCAGTGCCACGCCGTGCTGTTGAGCTTCACCACTGCTGCTGCCGTGGAACTGCAGCAGCAGCAGTGGTGTTGAATGAACCTCAATGCCACGCCGCTCCTCCCTTCTCTCTCTCTCTCCTCTGTTTTCCACCTGTCCCCCACACATGCAGTGCAGCAGCGGTCGCGTTCTACCTCAAAGCCACGTTCCTCTTCTCATGCTTCTCTCCTCTCCCCATAGAGCTCTTCAGCCCCTCGCCTCCTTTTTGCTTCCCCTCCGCATCAATCGCTAAGCCTTCTCACCCCATCGCCCCTCCCATCCCCACCTGTCTCCCAGACATGCAACGCAGCAGCGGTCGCATTTTACCTCAACGCCACGCTCCTTCTCCCGCGCTTCCTCTCCTTCTCCTCAGCTAGGTGAACCACCTTCCTCTCCAAGTTTGTTCAGAGTCGACTCAAAACAAACCTTCTCCTCCTTAGTTTTGGGACAGCCTAAAACTTTTGAGACATCCTAAAGCTCACAGCCAGGTGAACCTTCTCCCACAGCCCGGTATGTTACAGGTGGTATATCATGAACCCTAAACTCGAAATACACCTTCCCCTTCCGCGCTTCCTCTCCTTCTCCTCAGCCCGGTGAACCACCTCCCGCTCCCACATCGTGCACACAAGCAATCGTATCGTATACACAAGCAATCGTATCGTGCACACAAGCAATCGTATCGTATACACAAGCAATCGTATCGTGCACACAAGCAATCGTATCGTATACACAAGAGTGTGAAGGCAGTCTTAATGCCGTTGCTCAACCGTTGGCTCCACACACTGCAGTGCGCCCCCTCCACCGTACAAGGGCTTCAGCTCTACCACACGTTCTTCCCCCCGTGGGGTGGGCCCACCTTCTTCCCCCAACTTCAACCTCTTTTGAAGTCTTTCTCTCTCAGGACATTGGGGGCCTTGCATGTGTATCAGGGCATTGGGGGCCTTGCATGTGTATCAGGGCATTGGGGGCCTTGCATGTGTATCAGGGCATTGGGGGCCTTGCATGTGTATCAGGGCATTGGGGGCCTTGCATGTGTATCAGGGCATTGGGGGCCTTGCATGTGTATCAGGGCATTGGGGGCCTTGCATGTGTATCAGGGCATTGGGGGCCTTGCATGTGTATCAGGGCATTGGGGGCCTTGCATGTGTATCAGGGCATTGGGGGCCTTGCATGTGTATCAGGACATTGGGCGCCTTGCATCTGTATCAGGGCATTGGGGGCCTTGCATGTGTATCAGGGCATTGGGGGCCTTGCATGTGTATCAGGACATTGGGGGCCTTGCATGTGTATTATGAGCAGATGAGGGGTAGTGTGGTAGAGAGCGTGATGGGGGTGTTATGGGGTGGGGAGTGTGATGGGGATTGCGAGTGTGTGGGCCTGGGAGTGTGAGAACGGGTGTGCGTCCGGGGCAAGAGCCTGCTTTGAGCCGACTCATAAGGAGAGCGTGTGCTTCAGCCGGTCGAGGAGGTTTTTGACTCTGATCGCTTCATCTTATCGCTCTCTTCTTGCCTATCTTGTGCTTTCTTGCTTCCATGCATGGGACTGTGTGCGGGTGGGGGGTGGGGTTGTGCCTGTGTGTGAGGGGAGGGCGCCATTCAGCCAGTTCGGGGAGGTCTTTGACTCGGATCACTTCATTTCATCGCTTGCGCCTCAAGTCAAGGTCATTAGGAAGCTTCCGCCCTCCTTCCAGTCACTCGATGTCAACATCATGGGAGTCAACGTGAGTCATCTTTGTTGTTGGGGGTCAACAAGGGAGGAAAACAGCAACCCTATTTGCTTTTGAGTCGACTCAAAAGTCAACCTGAGTCATCGTTGTTGTTGGGAGTCAACTCAGGAAGGAAACAGCAATCCTACTTTACTCTTTGCAATTTTAATGTCCTAGTCCGGTGTTGGAGTAGGAGCAGTTTTGTGGGTTGCGTGTTGTACACTGAATCCCATCCCAACCCCACGGAAATATTGCCACCAGAATCTCCAAGCCTTGAAGATTTGCTGTGTGGTTGAGGGGTGGAGGGCTTGAGGGCTGGAGGGTGTGACGGGTCACTGGTCATGAAGAAGAGCAGCAATGTGAAGGATCGCTTTAGCAACGAACAATCGTCACCTGTTGAAAAATGTAACCCTGAAAAAACTACAAAATAAATTAGAATTCTTGAAGTTTTCCTGTGTGATGGAGGGTTGGAGGATTTGTTGGCGGTCTATATCAGGCTTGGCATGGATGTCAATGGCATGGCACGGCAACATGCCATTAATTGAGCCCCTCTCTTTCTGCAGTTTATGGTTAGAACTATGGAAAGCCATACATGAGAATCTTGCATTCATGAGCATACGTGCACCTTTTCAGGCATTGCAAACCGCCTGCCCGATTCCTGCACCTCCTTTTCCACTCTAGCTGTTTGCACCACAAATCTCCTTCCCCACCACTACCTCTTACCCCACCCCCATCTCCACCCCCTCTGTAAGCAGGTGTAAGAGCCGCAGTTCTCCAGGAGGTATCTTGGCAGCTATTTCTGCCTGCGCCTCTAGAGGCGCCTCAAGATACCTCTTCTCCTCCCTGCTGTACCTTTGTTATCCCCTAGCCTCATCAGCCACAGCAGCCTCATCAGCCACAGCAGCCGAATCAGCCACAACAGCCCCAACAACCTTAACAACCCTAGCAACCACAGAATTCATAGCAGCCATAGAAGCCAGAGCAGCCTTAGCAGCCCCAGCTGCCACAGCAGCCACAGTAGGCACAACAGGCACAGCATCCACATCAGGCAAATTAGGCAAAGGAGCCAAAACAGCCAGAGCAGCCTTAGCAACCCCAACTGCCACAGCAGCCACAGTAGGTACAACTGGCACCGTAGCTACATCAGGCAGATCAAGCAAAGGAGCCTAAACAGCCACAGAAGCCCTAGCAATCCCAGCTGCCACAGCGGCCATAGCACGCACAATAGGCATAGCAGCCACATCAGGCGGATCAAGTAAAGGAACCAAAGTAGTCATAGTAGCCCTAACAACCCCAACTGCCACAGCAACCACAGTAGGCACAATAGGCACCGCAGCCACATCAGGCAGATCAAGCAAAGGAGCTAGAGCAGCCAGCTTGGTTAAGGCAGCCAAAAAAGTCAGTTTGGTTGAAGTAGCCAGAGCAGCCAAAAAAACCATAGCAACTTCTATAGCCACAACAGTCACAGAGAGTAGAGATAGACGAATAGGGGAGTCAGACAGGAGTTGGCTGCTCTGGCTGCTTTAACAGAGCTGGCTTTTTCTAGCTGCTTCAACCAAACTGGCTGCTCTAACTGCTTTGGCTGCTTTGGCTCCTTTGCTTGATCTGCCTGATGTGGATGATGTGCCTGTTGTGCCTATTGTGGTTGTCGTGCATATTGTGGCTGTCGTGGCTGTTGGGGTTGGTAGGGCTTCACTGCTTGCTTTAGCTCCCTTGCTTGATTTGCCTGATGTGAGTACTATGCCTATTGTGCCTACTGTGACTGTTGTGGCAATTGGGGTTGCTAGGGCTGCTTTGGCTGCTTAGGCTGCTTTGCTTGATCTGCCTAAAGTGGCCGCTGTGCTTGTTGTGCCTATTATGGCTACTATGGCTACTGTGACAGTTGGGGTTGCTAGGGCTGCTGTGGCTTCTTTGGCTCCTTTGCTTGATCTGCCTGATGTGCCTATTGTGGCTACTGTGGCAGCTGAGGTCGTTTTTGAGGCGCCTCAAAAAGGGTTGCTAGGACCTTTTTGGAAGCAGCCATTGGAGAAGCGGTTTCCCCCTAGGAGGCGCCACTGCAGTTCTTTCCACACCTGTTGAGGTGCCCCAAAACACCTTAAACGGTCCTTTGTATTGATTCAGGCGAGGTACAAAACTTGCAGATTCATCCGGTAATAGCCTTACTCTCTTTCTTCCTTGTACCTCTTCCTCCTCTTCCTTCCCCGTTCTTTCCTCCCCTGCAAGCAGGTATCAGAGAAGCAGTTCCCCCGGGAGGTGCCGCTGCAGCTCTTCCTGCGCCTGGTGCCGCTGATGAGGCGCGTGGGGCTCCTCCACTTCCACGGCTTCCTCAACGCCCTCGCCTCCGACCCCATGCCACCACACGTGCAGGTTTGTTGCAACATGCTCGGTACTGCACTGCTCTGCTACACATACCACTGCACCACATAACATAGAAACACCGCTCTGCTTCGCATCACTTGGCACTGCACCCCTCTGCACCGCACCGTGTGTCGCTGATAAGTGGGTGTCCTCGCTGCACTTCCATTGCTTCCTCACCGGCCTGGCCTCACATGCCATGCCTCTCCACATTCAGGTAAGTGATTTCACTGCACCACACGGCACCACGCTGGACCACATCGTACCACTCTGCACCTCTTTGCACCACACTGCACCATACTACACCACACTTCACCACAGCTCACTCTCATGGCTTTCGCACCCATTGCACCTCGAACCCTATGCTTCCGGCGGTGCTAAAAACACACACAATTCACGCTATGCCGCATTGGACCACACCATGCCGCATTGGACCACACCATGCCGCAGTGTTCACCGCTTCTGACATCTCACCTCCCCCCAGTATATTGTCCCTCACTTCCAGCCCAATTCCTAACTCACCCATCTCATCTCATCTCATCTCATCTCATCTCATCTCATCTCATCTCATCTCATCTCATTAGCTCGTTTCCTACAATCCGTCTTCTATCCTACTATCCTTCTCCCTCACACCCTCACCTCTTCCCGCCCCCACTCGCCTCTCCCTCCTGTCATCCCATCCCATCTTCCCTCTGGCAGCGCCTGCGCTGTCGATGCATGTTCCACGCCCTCACCACCTCCCAACCCCACTTCCCTCTCTCCCCTCTCCTTTTCCCGCCCTTCCCCCCCCCACCCTGGCAGCGCCTGCGCTGTCGCTGCATGTTCCACGCCCTCACCTTCCTGCCAGCCGTCCATGCCACCGCACAGCTGGCCATCCAACGGCTGAGATCGGCCGCTGGGGCGCTGCCACGTGTGCAGGAGGAGTGGATGGACGGCGAGGACGAAGCGGGGAAACACGGTGCTGGGAATGGGGAAAATCGGGGCAAAAGTAAGGAGAGAGAAAGGATGAAAAATCAGGTTGAGAGTCAGGTGAAAAATCAGGTGAAACGTCCGATGAATGGCACGTCTGGTCAGATACACGCGGACATAGGCCATGTGGGCTCTCAAGAGCACCCAGAAGGGATCCCTCGCTACGTGGCGGCTCACATCCCCTTTGACGCAGTCTCTGCCGCCTACTCCCTCTGCTCCTTCACCCCTCGCCACCACCACAGTGATCACCACAACCAAACCCACCACCAGAACCAACACAAAAACCAGTACCAGGTCCAGGGCCAAGACCAAAATCGGCATGAGAACAACAATCAGTACCAAGGTCAGCAGCGGGACGAGGCGGAGGAGGAAGCGGAGCAGCTGAGGGACATCCGGCGGCTGCTCTTCCCGGTGCTGCACGCATACGAGCAGCAGGGCCGCCTCAACGCCCCCGACTGGTACCGCCGCATCGGCCGCTGCCCCGTGGCCCCCGAGGAGGCTGCTCTGGTGCTGGCAGGCATGGGCGTGGGGCGGCTGCGCCCGCTGTTTCTGGTAGGGGTTTCCGCTGAGCCGTGCAGGCTGGTGCTTGGAGGAGAAGGGGTGCTGAGCGGTGGGGATGGTGGGGTGCAGGGTGGGAGGGAGGAAGAGTGGCGGGAGGAGGGGCGGCAAGGGGGTGCGTGGGAGCAGGAGCAGGAGGAAGGGATGAGGGTGCAGCAGGAGGAGCAGCTGAGGGGGCAGGGCAGGCGGTGGTTCAACGGGTGCCGGCGGCTGGAGGCAGTGCGAGCGCTCTTCCCCTCCCTCTCGTCCATCGATACCCTCCTCTCCCCTCTCGAGATCGCCCCCTTCTCGTACTCGCCTCTCCTAGTGAGTTGCTTTCGTTCCATTCACTATTCACCACACACCATGCACTTGCATCGCCCACCACCATTCATCCCACACACTCGCTCACCATGATACCTCACACTCACCATGATACCTCACACTCACCATCATCCCTCATGCTCACCATCATCCCTCATGCTCACCATCATCCCTCATGCTCACCATCATCCCTCATGCTCATCCTTTGTTGCAATGTCTCCCTCATCCAGATCACCGCGCTTGAAACCATTGTGGCCGGCGAATCAGATCTCTTCCTTGCAGCGGACGGCAGCAGCCAGCTGGCAGCGCTTGTGGCCGGGCGGCGCATGTACTTCGGATCCAGATCTGACAAAAATTCTGGTTACCAGCATGGTTACAGGCCGTCCGTGCGAATCAACCGCGCACAGCTGGCGGAAGACCTGGGCGGCGGGAAAGATTTGCGGGCGGGGGAAGAGTGGATTGGGGATGCTGAGGAGAGGATAATGGAGTGGGAGGAGGTGGAGGAGCGAGTGAGGGCGATGGTGGGGGAGAGTAAGAGTGTGAGGAAGAGGAGGGTGTCTCGGAGCGTGTACAGGCATCCTCGCGATGAGGCGTGCATGTGCTTTGGGGAGGGGGATAAGGGACGGGAGGAGTTGGAGAGTGAGGAGTGGGGAGGTACAGGAGAAGAGAGTGGAGGGAAGAAAATCATGGAAGGAAGGGAGGTGAGGGGAGGGGGATTAGGCAGGGCAGATGTGGGAAGGAGTGGTGATGCTGAATCCGGTAAGGGGATGAATGATGGAGGGAGGTGGGAAGAGAAGGGGGAAGCACGGGCAAATAGGAGAGTGGGTAAGTGTGGTGGAGGCAATGGGGCTGCCAAGAGGCAAAGGCTTCGTGGTGTGGGTGGGGGACGAGGGGTGAGTGTTGGTGTGGATGATGGTGATGAAGATGAAGGGGGTGATGGGGTTGGGCCTGGTGAAAGCAACATGGAGAGGGATGAAGAGGAACAGGAGGTGGAAAGGAGAATGAGGTTGGAAGAGGAGAGTATGGCTAAGATGGAAGAGGAAACAGCAGTGCGGGAGGAAGAGATGAGAGAAAGCGAAGTAGCAGATACGTTACTTATCAATGCACGCGAAGGAGCACAAGGGATTAGCAACTCCAGCTTGTGGAAGGACCCTGAGCTCATGCATACATAATTGTTTAATTTTTTTTGTTGCTTCCTCTTTTCTTCCACCGACATTGTTACGGCGCCTGCCCAGCTTGCGACTCGCTGGATACGGATAATGCTGACGCGTAAAAGTGGAAGCAAAGGGATTGGGGTTCGCAATTTGTCACAAATCCACTGCGAATGCGCTTCCCACGTAGCGCGAGTCTCACGATTTTGAAAATTTATCGCCCGTCTTCGCTCGCGTGGCCATACCCTCTCGTCGGTCTTCGCCATTTCCCGCGATCTCATCCTGCGCGGTCCCAGTTTTCGTTCCCCTCTCCCTCGTCCCCTTCCGCACTCCTCCGCTCCCTTCACACCCGTCTTCTCTGACATTACCATACCCATATTCCCCCCCCCCCCTCCTCTTTTCCCCCCCTTGACTTTCCGCGCCTGCACTTTCAACTCCCCCCCTCTCGCTTCGCTCCACCCACACTTTCCCTTCCTGCTGCTTGGGAGGGAGATCAGTTGAGCTGATCAAAGTTGGACATCCCATTGTTGCCCTGCCCAGTCCCCCACCCTCCTGATCCTCAGCCGCGTGTCCCAGGGTCTGCGAAGCAGACATCAGAAGCTCTGCTTGGCTGAGAGCCAGTCTAATCGCGAGGCCTCGGGTTGATCCTCCTTGGTCCTCCCATCTACTTTTCGCATTTCTCTTTCTCTCGTCGCTCGTGCTTGAAAGGAGCGGCCATGGCGTCGTTGTCGACCGCGGGGGTCGGAATCGGTCAGAGCACCTCCTCGTTTGCCGCAGGGAATAAGAGTCTCTCGTGCGGGCGAACGCAGCCAGCAGCGAGCGTTGCTTTCGCGGGTAATGCGCGTCTTTAGAAAGATAGCGCACACACTAACTTTGCTCACATTGAGAGTTTCGTACCACCACGTTGAAACTCATAAACCATATACAACATATTTAAATCGCTGATATAACCTTAACGTATTCACGCTATGTTTTCTGGTATCGTTGCCCTTCTATGCTGCCGTTGTTTCACATCCACGCGAGTGAGCCTCTAAACAGCGATGGTAACGCAAGCACGTTCAAGACAATTGCCGGGACCATGCATTACCATTCTCCAATAACTTGTCGTCTGGTCTGCTCTTGGCGTTGTGCGTGAAAGCAGGCAAGCAGCGGCGCGTTGCTCCCACTAGAGCTGCTTCGTCCGGGTCCGGCGGGAATGGCGACTCTAATAAGGAGAAACCAGCAATGCAGGTACATCCCTCCTCGCACGTTTCTCCACATCCTCCCCCCATGCCCAATGCTCTCGCCCTCACGACCCTTCTCAGACTTTGTAAGGCTGGGTCCATTTCCCCCCTGCTTGCCTCCATGCCCACAGCCTCGGCACGGGTGTCTTTCCAACGTCTCAGAATCCTCCTCCCTCTCTCGCCTCCCTCCACTCAGAGTCTGTACGACTTGGGCAGCAACCTGCTGACGCGCGTGCTGAGCGGCGGCGACATGCCGTGTGTGTATGCTCACCGCCTAGGTCTTCCAACGTTTCAAAACTTTCCCCCCACTTCTCTCTCGCCTCCCTCCACCAGAGCCTGTACGACCTGGGCAGAACTCTGCTGACGCGCGTGCTGAGCGGCGGCGACATGTCCGGCATGCCCACAGCCTCGGCCCGGGTGTCTTTCCAACGTCTCAGAATCCTCCTTCCTCTCTCGCCTCCCTCCACCAGAGCCTCTACGACCTGGGCAGCAACCTGCTCACCCGCGTGCTGAGCGGCGGGGACATGTCCGGCATGCCTACAGCTTCCGGCGAGGTGTCGGATCTCGTCGGCCGTCCGCTCTTCTTCGCGCTCCACAACTGGTTCCTCGAGGTCCGCTCTCCCCGCTCCGTGCTCCCTGCTCCCTGCTCCCTGCTCCCTGCTCCCTGCTCTCTTCTTTTGTTCCCTGCACTGTGCTGCAAACGTGACTTCCGAATTTCTCTCATTGTCACTTGGAATGAGGTTTGCCGGACCTCCTCGGCTGCCGGCTCAACTTGTTCTTTGAGAGCTGATTGTAATTAGCATTTTGGACGTCTCTACTCTCCGTGCTGGAAGATTTCCAACGGCGATATTGCGTCTAATGGCACGATGTACGGACTCAGTGCGTCGTATTGTTGTTGAGTCGACTCAAAAATAGACTCAGTGCGTCGTATTGTTGTTGAGTCGACTCAAAAATAGACTCAGTGCGTCGCCTCACAACCCAGCTTCCAGCTAGGCGCTTCTTCCACTGCATACACCCTCCTCACCACCCCTCACACGACCCCACTTACCCACTCCCCACTCCCCTCGCGTTCATCCCATCCCCTCTCTCCCCCATTTCCCCTCTCTCACCGTCTCCTTCACCTCCCTCCTCTTCCCGTCCCTCGCATGTAGTTAGGAGGCGTGTACCGTCTCGCTTCTTCCCCAATTCTCGACTTCACTCAAAATCCTCCCTTCCTCCTACTCCCCTCCCTTCTCTCCCTTCTCTCCCTTCCCCTACCTTCGGCCATCCTGCGCAGCTCGGAGGCGTGTACCGTCTCGCCTTCGGCACAACCTTTGAATGAATCGACTCAAAAATTCCCCCCGTCACTGCATCCTCCCCCCTTTCCTCCCCACTTCCCGTCCGTTCGCGTGCAGCTAGGGGGCGTGTACCGTCTCGCCTTCGGCCCCAAGGCCTTCGTGGTCATCTCCGACCCAATCGTTGCGCGCCACGTGCTCAAAGAGAACGCCTTCGCATATGATAAGGTGCGCTTCTGACGCACCGATTCGAACCCCACCAAAATGAGGCACCCCTTCGCAAGCTGACCCTATGTGTCCGGCTGCTCTATCCCGCAGTTCCTACCCTCACTCACTTCCTACCCTTTCTCAGTTCCCTCTTGCAGTTCCTACCCGTTCTCCTCCCACCCGCCCCTTATAAACCAATGCTGCACTCTGCCGCCCTGTATTGACCTATGCTGCTCCCCTCCCCTCCCCGCGGCGCAGGGCATGCTGGCGGAGCTGCTGGAGCCCATCATGGGCAAGGGGCTCATCCCCGCTGACCTGGAGACCTGGAAGCAGCGCCGGCGAGGTGAGCGGTGGAGAGAGGTGGAGAGCGTTGGCAAGGGGTGGCGAGAGTGGCGAGGGGTGGTGTGGGGTGGTGAGGGGTGGGGTGACGAGGGCGAAGGAATAGGGGATTGTTAGTGGAGGAGGAAAAGGATGATGAGCCCATCCTGGGCAAGGGGCTCATTCCCGCTGACCTGGACTCGTGGGAGCAGCGCAGGCGAGGTGAGCGGTGGGAAGGGGTGGTAAAGGATGGCTAGGAATGAGGAGGGGTGAGGGGGGTGAGTGAGAGATGGGTAGTGGTGAGGGGGTGGTGGTCAGGAGGGAGGGGTTACCAGTGAAAGGTGAGGGGTACGGAGTGAGGAGTGAAAGGTGAGGGTTGAGAAATGCGGGGTGAGTGATTGCAGCAATGCGACAATCATTGCAGCAAGGCCGGTCGGGTTTTGAGGCGCAGCAGGGGGGGGGCATGGGGGCGAACTGACTGGGTATCGCGCCAGACATCAATAGCATCCCATTTCTCCCTCTCTGCCGCTTCACCCACCCACCCACCCACCCACCCACCCCGTGAACCCCCAGCCATTGTGCCGGGCTTCCACGCGGCCTACCTGGAGGCCATGGCGCTGGTGTTCTCGGAGTGCTCCAAGCGCTCTGTCGACAAGCTGCAAGCCTTGTGCCATCACGCTGGAGCCACGGCGGGGAGTGAGGGCGTGCGCATGGACATGGAGTCGGAGTACTCGTCCATCGCGCTGGACATCATTGGCATCTCCGTGTTCAACTATGACTTTGGGTCCGTCACGCGCGAGTCGCCCGTCATCAAGGCCGTGTATGGGACGCTCTCGGAGGCCGAGCACCGCGCTACCTTCTACATCCCCTACTGGAACATCCCCTTTATAAGGTGGGACGCCCTTACTGAAACATACCCGTTATAAGATGGGTGATCGGGACGCCCTTCTGGGAGCATCCCCTTGGTAAGATGGGGGTGATTGGATGGCTAAGTGGGATGGGGCCTGTCAAGTGCCAGTTGAGTGGGTGCCTATCATCTGTTGACTGAAATGAATGCGGATGTGTGCGGAATTCGAGTTGCTACCGATTCAATTCCCCTCCCCACGTCACCTCCACTATTTGCTCCTCCTCCATCCCCATCCTCCCTGTTCCTTTCCCCGTCAGCCTGGTGGTGCCGTGCCACGCCAGATGAAGTTTCAGCAGGACTTCAAACGTCATCAGCGACTGCTGCGGTCTGGGCCAGTAACCCAATGCATCTTCCTGTCACACCCCCCCATCCACCACCTCCCACCCGTCTCCCTCCCAGCCGGGTGGTACCGCGGCAGATGAAGTTCCAGCAGGACCTCAAGGTCATCATCGACTGTCAACTCCTGTGACCTCTTTCCACCACCTCTCACCCCCTCACACCTTGAACCCCTCCCCCACCAAACACCACACCAGCCTGGTGGTGCCACGCCAGATGAAGTTCCAGCAGGACCTCAAGGTGATCAACGACTGCCTGGACGACCTCATCACACGCGCCCGCGCCACTCGCCAGGTGCGCCCAGGGGAGGGGATGAGGGCAGTGCGAGGTGAGGGACGGCATGGCATGTGGGGGAGAGAGGGGGTGAGATGTGGGAGTAAGAGGCGAGCGCCACGCTGCTGTTATCTGAGCCTGCAGGACCTCAAGGTCATCAACGACTGCCTCGACGACCTCATCACCCGTGCCCGCGCCACCCGCCAGGTGAGCCACCCGCCAGGTGAGCCACCCGCCAGGTGAGCCACCCGCCAGGTGAGCCACCCGCCAGGTGAGCCACCCGCCAGGTGAGCCACCCGCCAGGTGAGCCACCCGCCAAATGGATGCCAGTAGTGAGGGCTAAGGGGGATGAGGGAAGTGAAAGAGATATAGTATGGGCCCCATCCACTCATACACGGTGCTGCCCTTTCTTCCTTCTTTGTCCCCTCCAGCCGTGCCTCTCGTCTCTCCCTCCTCTCCTTCGCCTAGGAGGGAGGTCTCTAAAGCCCTCTCCGCGAAGCCCTGCGGCAGCAGGAGGAATCCAAGCCAAGCCCCTCCGTGGCATCTCCTCTCCCTTCCCTACCCCTGCCAATTCGTGCCTCGCCCTTGCCTCCTACTCCTGCTGCTCTCCTCCCGTTACACGCCTGCCAGGAGGACGATTTGGAGGCTCTGCAGCAGAGGGACTAGAGCCCACATCAAGGTGCGGGGTGGTAGTCTGTTGCGCTTCCTGGTGGACCTGCGGGAAGAGGACTCTATGTCCCTCCCCTTGATCTCTCCTCTCCCTGCTCCCTGCCACCTCATGCCTCTCTCCCTCCACTCCTTTTCGCATTGCCCCCACCTGCCAGGAGGACGACCTAGAAGCCCTGCAGCAGAGGGACTACAGCAAGGTGCGGGACGCGAGTCTGCTGCGCTTCCTGGTGGACCTGAGGGGCGAGGACTGCGATGACAAGCAGCTGAGAGACGACCTCATGACCATGCTGGTGGCCGGGCATGAGACCACTGCTGCCGTGCTCACCTGGGCCACCTACATGCTCGCCCAGGTGTGTGGGCAGTGTATCTTGGTAAACTACTTGTTCAGCGTGCTGACACAAGAGACATGCTGCCTGCATGCTCGCTCAGGGATTCGGGCAGAGTGGCTCCAAGTGGGGGTGCTGGGCGATCCTGCCTCACATCACATTTCTCGTTGCCACTCATAATAGCTTTGTTTCGAGACGTCTCGAAACAAAGTGATGATGATCTCTCGCCCCCAAAAAAAAAGGCACATTCCTCATTGCCATGCGATTTTTGAGGTGCCTAAAAAACCCTTTCACACCCGCATTGCCATCCGCATTGCCACCCGCATTGCCATCCGGCCCCTTTCCCATCCTCACAGCATCCACGCGTGCTGGCGACGCTACAGTAGGAGGTGGAGCAGAGAGCAGGGATGGGATCCCTTCCCACTTCACTCCTTTCCGTCTCCCATTTCCGACTCCATCTCTCCCTCTCTTCCCACCCCTCCTCACAGCATCCGCGAGTGCTGGCGAAGCTACAGGAGGAGGTGGATAGAGTGCTGGGCGACCGACTGGCCACTCTGCAAGACATTAAGTCCCTTGAGTGAGTGTCATGCCGCACTTTCGTACGGCTCCGTACGCTTGAGAATTCTCGCAAGGGACACAATCAGCCCAGGCTTCGTCTCCCATCCCAGCACCATCCTCGAGCAAGTTTTTGAGTCGACTCAAATGTCGTCTCCCATCCCAGCACCATCCTCAAGCAATCAAGCTCCTGTAGATCAGCAGCCATCTGCTTTCCACCATCATCCTTCCTACACTTTCCATCTCTCCCACCCCTCTATCTATCCCACCCCTCTCTCCCACCTCTTCTCTCGCCCCTCTCTGCTGCTCCTCTCTCCTGCTCGATTTCCCCCATCTCTCTCCGCCAACCCCTCCCCCATCTCCCCCACCCCAATTCCCGACCCCTCTCCCCCACCTCTCTCCCCTGCCGCTGTCTTCCATCTCCCCCCCTCAGGTACACCCGCCTAGTGGTATCAGAGGCTCTCAGGCTCTACCCGCAACCACCGCTGCTCATTCGCCGTGCGCTGGTCAATGACCATTTGCCATGTAAGCAACCCTCCAATGTCACCCCCGCCGTTTCTCCTGTGTGCGCGCGCGTTGTGACTACTGCATGTCCGTGTCATTTCCCTCTCTTCTGCTCCGACAAACTTCTCCCAAGAATCTCCTACAAGTGTCCCGAGATGCTCAACAGTTAACATTGCTTTTTTTTCCTCTGTGGGAGTCCAGGTGCTGCATGCATGTCCTTCTCATGTAATGTCCCGAGATGCTCAACAGTGTTAACATTGTTTTTTTCCTCTGTGGGTGTCAAGCCGCTGCTGCCATGCAACGTCTATTCTATGTGGCCACGCTCCACCGCACCACATTCCATCCCTGATCCCGTCCCGTCCTTGATACCATTCCATCCCATCCCCCACAGCCCACTCTGTGTCCCCATCCTTGCCCTTGCCCTTGCCCTTGCCCTTGCCCTTGCCCTTGCCTTTGCTCTTGCCCTTGCCCTTGCCCTTGTCCCCATCAGCTGGGTACAAGGGCAATCCTGCGGGCTACAACCTTCCCAAGGGCACCGACCTGTTTGTATCTGTAAGCTGCTTCTCCCACACTCCCCCCGTTTGAGATATCCCCAAGTGCACGGACCTCTTTGTCTCGGTGACACTCCTCTCTCACACTCCCCCTCACCCCTCTCCTCACACACTCGCTGTCTCCTCATCGCTCACATTCCGCTTTACCCACTCTCTGTTTCTTTTCGCCCCTGGACTCACTGCGAGTCTCCGTGTTCTTTCAGCAAAGAAATGTTGCATTGCATTCGCATGCATGCAATCAAGAGCCGTGGAAGCAACAGGTCTTCACTTGAGCATCAAGCGCTCGAGTTTCCTCTCCTTGTTTCCGTTTTTCAACCCCCCCACCCTCCCCTTCCCACCCCGCCCCTCCTTGCCCAGGTCTTTGACATAAAACCGTTTGCCGTGCGTCTGGGAGCAGATACAGCGCCTCCATCCCCCCTCTTTCCTCCACCCCCTCCTTCCCCAGGTGTTCAACATCAACCGCTCGCCGCACTACTGGGAGAATCCCGAGGAGTTTCGGCCAGAGAGGTTCTTGGAGCGGAGGAGTGGGGAGGGCATCCCCGGGTGGGATGGGTATGACCCTGACCGGCTGGCAGGGGCTCTTTACCCCAACGAGGTGGGTGCGTTTCCCATGTCACTGCATTGAAGCGAGAGAATGCTGGGGCTTCAGGTCAGGGGCTATACGGTCCCCTCCTCCATCGGTGCTGGCATCCCCGGGTGGGATGGGTAGGTACGACCCTGACCGGCTGGCAGGGGCTCTCTATCCCAACGAGGTGTGCGTGTTTTCATGGTTTCACTGCAGTAAGGCGACTCTATTCAGTCATCAAAGGCATCTCTAACCATGAGGGCGTTGAAAAGGTGGGACGGGTACGACCCTGACAGGCTGGCAGGGGCGCTGTACCCCAACGAGGTGCGTGTGTGTGTTTTCATATCCCGCTATCGAGGTGCAACTACTGAGGTCGATTACTCCTGGATGGGATGGGTACGACCCTGACTGGCTACCAGGGGCTCTTTACCCCAACGAGGTGCGTGCGTTACCCTGATTAGGTCATTGAGGCAAGACTACTGGGGGGCCAGGGACAGGTGGCGAGGGCATTGAAGGGTGGGATGGGTACAACCCTGACCGGCTGGCAGAGGGGCGCTGTACCCCAACGAGGTGCGTGCGATTCCCGTGTCATGGCATTGAAGGGAGAGGCTACCGGGGCTCTAGGCACTACCCTGACAGGCTCGCAGGGGCGCTCTACCCCAACGAGGTGTGCCTATAATCGTTATATTCCCTTAAAATATGCTGGCATCAACAAGTGGGATGGGTATGACCCTGACAGGTTGGCAGGTGCGCTCTACCCCAATGAGGTGCGATCGTTTGCCTGATTAGGCCATTTGAGGTGAGACTACTGGGGCTCCAGGTACAGGTGGCATTTTACTTTTGAGAATTCTCAAAAGTGAAATTCACGTAGGTGGCACGGGCTTTGAAGGGTGGGAATGGATAAAGGCTGGCAGGCTCGCTGTAACCCATTGAGGTGCGTGTTTGTTTTCATGGCATCACCATGCTAATAGGCGTCCACTTCGTGTGTGTTTTCATGGTATCACCTTGCTAATAGGCGTCCACTTCGTGTGTGTTTTCATGGTATCACCATGCTAATAGGCGTCCACTTCCACACTCCCCCGTCCCCACCACTCCTCCCCCACACCCAGGTGGCGTCTGACTTTTCCTTCCTCCCATTTGGCGGCGGCCCGCGCAAGTGTGTGGGGGGCCAGTTCGCCCCTTTAACCGTGCTCCAAATTATTCACCCACACTCCCCCAACCCCACCCCTCCTTCCCTCCAGGTGGCGTCTGATTTTGCTTTCCTGCCCTTCGGAGGCGGCCCGCGCAAGTGTGTGGGGGACCAGTTTGCGCTGATGGAATCCACAGTCGCGCTCTTGACAACCATGAACCTTGCTCACACATTTCCCCATTCTCACCAATCACTCCCTCCCTCCAGGTGGCGTCTGACTTCGCCTTCCTGCCATTCGGAGGCGGCCCGCGCAAGTGTGTGGGGGACCAGTTCGCACTAATGGAGTCCACCGTCGCGCTCGCCATGATCCTCCGCCGCTTCAACGTGCGCCTCGACGGGCCACCGGAGGAAACCGAGATGGTCATGGGGGCGACCATGCACACCAAGTCTGGGCTGTGGTGCCGCCTCACGCCTCGGGGAGACATACCTGTGCCTGCTGATGCTGCTGCTTCTGCTGCAACTGCGAATGCTTGATTCTGTGCCGCATTAACGTGCGTCTGGAAGGGCCGTCAGAGGACACAGAGATGGTTATGGGCGCGATCATGCACACCAAAGCAGGGCTCTGGTGTCGGCTCACACCTCGGGGAGACACGAAGGTGGTTGCTGATGCTGGCGCTGCCGCTGCTACAACAGCCAGTGCCTGAATTCTGTAGGATGCACTGTACTGTGCTCTGATGTGATGTGGCACATACAGTACCTGCTTGGAGGTGTGCTGCTTGATGCACCAGCTTAGGATGTCGATCAATCAACCAAATGTAGGAGTGGTTTGTATTGTGTGTTGGAAAGTTGTCAAATGTTGTAGCCTGTAGTGAGGTTTGTCTTAGGGGGTACAAATGTTAGGGTTTGTTATATGTACCCCAACCTGGATCAATGAAACCAACATTTTCGATTCTGACATGGTATCACCTAGGTTAGGATCCTGTGGGATCCCGCTCCTCTCGTTCACGTTCGTTCCGTCGGAACCTGTCTAGCTCTATCGTACTCGTCGTTTCGCCCGTCTTGCCCGAGCCTAGTGCCGGCCCGATCTAGTCTCGCCCGTTCGTTAGAGCCCGCTGCGCCGACTAGCCTAGCGTCGCGCTCTCCCCCGTTGTCCGTCGCGTCGCGCTCCCCCCCGCTGCCCGTCGCGTCGCGTTCTCACCCGTCGCCCGTTTCCCCCCCCCCCACCCGCTGCTCGTCGCGTCGCGCCCTCTCCCGTCGCCCCCCGCGTCGCGCCCGTCGCCCGTCGAGTCGTGTCGCGCCCGTCACCCGTCGCCTGTCGCGCCCGTCACCCGTCGCACCCGTCGCCCGTCGTGTCGCGCCCGTCGCCCGTCGCCCGTCGCGTCGCGCCCTCCCCTCCCTGCTGCCCGTTGCACAAACCCTAACCGCCCGCCGTACCCACCCGCCCTACCTGCGCCCTCTCTAACCGTCCACCCTACCCGCACCCTCTCTCCCCGACCGCCCTAGCCGTGCCCGCGCAAACCCTAACCGCCGCGCCTGCACGTCTTGCCCGCCGCTGCGCCTACTCGTTCCGCCCGCCGCCGCGCCTTCTCGATAGCCGTGCCGCAGGCCCTCCCTTCGCGCCGCGCTACGACCTACCGTTCTAGCTGTTTCTAGTTTCGCTATGGCGACCCCTCGGGTCCTTCGTTTTGACGCTGACGGCCGACCACTCGAGTTTCCGGTCTGGCTCCTACGCGCGTGTCGCTTGTTAGAGAGTCAGGTTCAGTCGAGCGAGACCCTCTGGGCCCACGCTAGTGGTGTCCTCCCTGCGCCCCCCGACCCTACGCCTTTAGGCCCTGACCCTGACGACGCTGCCAGAGACCGCTTTGCCCGCCAGCGCGCTGACCTGACGGCGTGGACGTCGCGTGACGCTGCGGCCTGCATCGCACTCAGCAGCCTCCTCCCTGAGTCTGAGGAGGCCCACTTCACTCAGGTTCGCACTGCTAGCGAGTACCTGACTGCGATTAAGGCCCGCTATGCTACGCCCACTACTGTCTCTCTTGGCCGACTCTTCCTACCGTTCCTGTTCCCTGATCTCGCCTCGTTTGAGCGCTCTGCTGACTTGATCGCTCACCTGCGCTCGCTCGACTCTAGCTACCGCGCTGCTTGCACTGACGCACAGCTTGCACTGCTTCCCCCCTCCCATGGCGATTACTATCTACTTCATCGCCACTAGCCTCCCTGACCGCCTTGCCTCGGTTCGTGACGCGCTTCTTCTGAAGCACCCTAGTGAGCTCACTATCGAGGTCCTTGAGTCTGCGCTCAAGGACGTCGAGAGCAACCTTCGCTCTGTTGCCGCCGCCTCTGGTGCTGTGCCCCCCCACTGTTTTACGGGTGCACTGTCCCACAGCTGCCCACCTTTACTGCCTCTCTCGCCACTGCCGCTACTGACGTGACCGCAGCTGCTGCTACGACTTCGTCACGGTCTCGGGGTAGGGGTGGCAAGAGGGGCGGTCAGAGTGCGGGCGGCGGCGGCGGTGGAGGCGGGGGTGGTGGGGCTAGAGTCGCGACTGGCGGTGGTGGGAGTGCAGGGCCTGGAGAGGCGTCTCGTGCAGCGGCTAGTGACTCCCCTGCTGCAGCTGGTGGTGGCGACGCCCGAGTTCGTCAGTTGCCTCCCATTCTACCGGCCGCAGCGGGTGGAGCAGCGGCGTGGTACCTGACTCAGCGACAGCAGCAGCAGCAGCAGCAGCCGCTCCCCTCGCCGCACCCCCCGCAGCAGCAGCGGCAGCAGCAGGCTCCGGGGTCGGGCCAGCATCAGCTCCAGCGAGCTGCTGTCCACCCTCCGTGCACCTATCCGGTTCAGACAGGTGCTCGCCGGGGTCAGCCGTGTGGCCGCACTCACCCTCCTGGTCAGTGCTTTGCTCAGCTTACTGACACGGTTCATTTAGC